CCTGCTGAGTTCCTCCTCATGTATTCTGTGGGCAACTGGATGTCGAGGGCAAAATTGGATGTCGAGGGCAAAATTCCACACTAGTGTTTGGGCCAATTTCCATCCTTTTTAGTCAGTACTCTAGTAGGTGTGGCTGTTGGAAACTTGCTGGGTTTAGAGTGCTTTATATACCCTTTTAATGGCAGAAGCTGATTCCTCGGCTTTGACTTACTTTTCTATGCTGAGGTGGCTGTCGCATTCAAAAATATTTGTGTTTTTAATATTTGAGTATTAGGGCCTCATTTCACTTTCAGGACATTGTGGAAAATTCTAAAAAAAACCAATCTTTTTATCCTGTCCTAGATTGTAAGTCTTTTATTTTTTTTCGTAATGCAGCCCCTTTTCAGAACTGGGACTTTCCCAGTCCTGTTTCCCCTTCCTTTTCCCCTTTGGAGTTGCTCAGAATCTACTCAAGAATCCCTTCAAGAATCTGGCTGGGAACAAGTACCCTTTCTCCCAGCTGAGAATCAGTGTTGTGGAACAGTTCTTCCCAAGCACTGTTTGTGTTTTGGAAAGTGATGATTTCTTCTCTTTTCTTTACTTGCTTATTTATTTATGCCAAATGTTATTTTTTTGCATAAAGGCAGGCAAATCCTTTGAGCCTGTCTGCACAAAAATACATGACAGCACTGCTCTGACTTTATGTTCTTGTGCCCGACTTTACATTTTCTTTTGTCATTCCATTATACTATTTTCTTGGTCTGAAAAACTACACAATTTGCTAGACCTACAAAGTTCTGTCTGTCAAGGAATGCATTCTGTAATCAAATATTTATCTTTCATCTGACTGTGTTTTCTTTTTTCTCACTAGGCTGTAATTCATGAACATTAGTGCGTGTGTGTATGTGTATAAAGTAATACTTCTCTGTTGTTCTACTTTATTGTATTTTGTGAACTCCTTATCTGTTTGCCTGTTAAAAAAATGACAAAAATCAAGATGTACTTATTTTAGAATAGACCCATCATACAGGTACAATGTCAGTACTGTGTATTTTCTTTCTTATTTTGTTAAAAACTAATGACAAAACGTTAAAGATTGCTTGAGACATGCTATTCAAAATGTTTAGCACATTTTTGTCTTTCTTTTGCTCAGGGTTTTGTTGTCACTTTGAGGTGGGTGGAAAGTAATCAAAGACAATAGGAAATGTAATCCATTCCTAAAAGAAGAATTGTTCGTGGATTGACTAACGGTGTACATCACATTTTCTTTGTGCTTTAGAAAGTTTAATCCGTGCTAAGTTTTGGAGGAAATCCAATAGACACTTGAAAAATTCTAACAGTGTTCTTTTTAAGGAATTAGTGTACTCAAATCATGAACTGCGATCTAAGGGCAGTGTTCCTTTTAGGTATCAGTTACCTCAGAAAAGTGTGGTTATCTTGGTTTGGACAACTGTAAATGATTTCAGTTCCACTTTGCCTTTGGCCAAAAAATCGTACTAAGTTGTCCAGAGCAGATGATTAACATATATTTCTGATGTCATTATGGGCTAAACAGGATATGAGTGTTTAGCAGTATGGTTTCAGTTATGATACAAAAAGCAAATATTGTTTATGCTCATTTCTTTTAAAACTTTTTATAAAATTAGAGCTAAGGCTTCATGGGATCACTTGTTGTTCTGTGAGGTCAATTCCGTATTTGTACCATGGAGAAGTAAGCAAGGCTCTAAGCCACCTTCACACACTGCTAAAGGAGAACAAACAATTCTTACAATTTTGACTGAAAAACACCCACTAACGCTGTCAATAAAAAAGAAAAAACATTCTTCTCAGATTATATATAAAAGTTATTGATCTATCCTGAAGTTTTAATTTGAAGCAAAGGACTGTCTCTAAATAGTAATAACAGCAATGTGCAAAGGAAAACGAAATATTCTTAAAATAGAGAGCAAAACTAAGAACACAATTCAGTCTACTTTGCCATAATACGTGATCACGTTATCAATACATTGTGATTGTGACTTTTTATAAAAATTTCAGTACCAGCTATAAATACTGGCAAACCAGTCAACTGGAGTGGCAAAACCAAAAGAAAGTAAAAACTGGAATAGCACCTCTCTCTTACTTCAAAACGGTCAGTATTTTGCCCTCATAAGAGAGTAATAAAATCTCCAGTGAAATGCTGCTCCTCAGAGTAAGACCATTATAGATGGAATAACTGGAGGTGTTTCAGGACCAGACTGGACGGGGCTTTGAGCAACCTGGTCTAGTGGGAGGTGTCCCTGCCCCTGGCAGGGGATTGGAACTAGATGATCTTTAAGGTCCCTTCCAACACACCCCATTCTATAATTCTGTGATAATAAGCTGTTCCAGTTCATAAATGTAATTCAGCTCTGCGCAGGAAGGAGAGATATCCATATCATCAAAGTTGTCTTCAAAACAGGTGAGAATAAAATTTCAGAGCAATCTACCTGGCACCCCTTTTTTATTGCACAATTTAGGCTCTGGCAGAACTAGAACTAGAACTAGAACTGGTGCTTGGGAATTAATTTTCCTTTCTGTTGCATATTGTGTGACAGAATCCATGAGAAATAAAACTTTGCAAGTGCAATGTTGTTTTGCTTTTTCATCTCTTAAAAAGGACAGACTTGGGATTCTTGTGGGATATGGCTGAATCAGTGTGGGGAGAAGGTGCGTACTCACTTAAAGTCTTGGCTTTTTTTCATTATTTTGTAGTCTGGGTAGAAATGCAGTTTGGGATGTTTGTGTCCTTGTGTTGCTACTCTGAACCTCTCAGGTGACCTGTCCATAGTAAAACTAGCTGCAAGTTTTGCTGTGATTTTGTTAATATTATGGATATTCCACTAAAATTTTGTATCAGAAACCGCTATCAAATTTACCATGTCTTTTTGTTAAAACCAGGTATATCTATGTTAAAACTTCAGTCAGTGTCGTTTCAAAGCTGACTTCTGCCTCATTGTGTAAATACCCATTTTTTATGATTTGCTTTATAGTTCCACCTCCCCCATGAGGAAAAAGATCTTCCCATGAGAAGTCTGAACTGGCACGCAAAGGAATGCATAGGGCATCACGCCGTGAATGCCGTGCTTCACTTTGCTTCCCCTGGGATTAATAGAAACACAATTCATCTATCACTCTGCTAGTTCAGGGATAGATTTGCAACACTCAGCTGTTATATGTCAATAATTCAGTTATAATGCAATAACTGCTGTAATGCTTTCATAGTACATTGCAAGTTTGACAGTGGAGGGAAAATAACTTCCTTAGAAGACACTAACTTGAACACAGGCTAGAAGCCAGCAAGATATGACAATTAAGTTGTACCCCTACAGGAAGAGGTTGGCAGAAGCTTGCGCTTCTTTAGGGTGTACTGCCCTTTGAATGATGTTAGGTATTTAAAAACTACGGATACATATTATTTTTCATTGCGGATGTGATTTTTCCCATACTATTCATTAGCAAGCCTCTGTACTAAGCTCTCAGAAATGCAGTGGGCCCTGTAGATTGCAGTGAAATGTGGGTGTGTTTGGAATATACACTTTGTTCACATGAGGATAAATTACTCCCTTTTAATTTTAGTCTGTGTTCAGATACAAGTAATTTGTGTCCATCAAACACACTTAAACATGCCTGTCATAGAATCATAGAATCATTCACGTTGGAAAAGACCCTTGGGATCCTGAAGTCCAATCGTTAACCCTACTCTACAAAGCTCACCCCTAAACCGCATGCCCCAACACCACCTAGATGCACCTCAAGACACGAGGAATCATATTCTGGAAGTCCACTCTGTTTCAGTCACAGAAATAAGATAGACTTGGCACATCCCAGTAAATTAGACCGTGACCAAGACAATTCACTCCAACTGCAATGCCATCATCACCTTTTGAGTGGTCACGCTTTGACCTGAGCCAAGTAGCATTGTCCCAAATAATTCCATTTTGAGAGTCAGCCTGGGCCAGGAGTTCTCTCCACAGCATGGTTTGGATGTGACCACTCTCTTTTGGAGGCTCACAGGGCAGAAGCACGGACTCAACTTGCTCCGTGAAACGCCTTGGAGGGCATTCACCTGATGTCATTTAGTTGAGACAGCTAAAATTTGATGAGGTAAAAACCCCAACCCTATGAGGTCTTTAAAGGAGGATATGAAGGCGGTGTTGACCTACTCAAATTCATTGGTACTAATTTGGAAAAGCTGTGCAAAGAAAATAAGCAGGAAATTATTTGGAAAGAGCTCTGAGGCCTGTTAGTACTACTGTGCTCATTTCACTGGTGAAAATTATGCCAGTGAAGTGCTGTGTGGGGTCATTACTCTTTGGGGAGTATGTTCCTGCAGGGTGTATCAATAACAAACTGGAATTTGATTTAAAGCTCATATGGAACGCTTAGTACTGTAGTACAGACAACATATACTTAATAGAAACTGCATGCCAGAAGACAAACTAAGAAGTTTTCTG